ATCGAATCATCAAATTGAAAAAAAAAATACCAATGAGTGTTGAGGAGACAATGGGGATGACCTGACTGTCATGATCAGAATGTGTGCCCTATCCAAAAGGACAGCCACCACTCATTGGTGCCATGAGGAAATGTAGGCCTGGTGTTGATGGATCTTCCTATTTTTAAACAAAAATCAATAATACAGGTGTTTATCTCAAATATTTTGATTTTCAAATGTAAGCCAACAATTTTGGGGATAAAACACATTTTTATCACTCTTTAGGTGAACACTATACAGGACAAACTGAACATATGTGGTCCATAAGTTGCAACCTCTGATTTAATCCATTCTTTCTTTTATTCAAAAATATTTTCTGAGCATCTATGGAGTACCAGATACTGCTCTAGGACTAAAGGATACAATTCAAAAGGTGAAATTCCTGCTCTCAAAAATCTTACAGTCAAATATAAAATAGGGATGATGGCCAAGTAATTATGATACTGAACTATGTATACCTCCGGGGTCCATAAGAGGAGGCCCTCACCCAGGCTTGAAGTGGCTCAGAAAAGGCTTTCCCAGGTTGGGACCAGAAAGGTAGCTGTTAACCAGAAAGGTATCAGCTAACATTGGCTGCATAACAAACTACCCCAAAACCCAGCAGCTTAAAATAACAACATTTTGTTTAGCTCATGATCTTATGGATTAGCAATTTGGGGTGGGCCCAGCTGAGCAGCTATGATCTGGGACTTTCTAATGTATCAACAGAGAGGTTCTGGGTTGCTGGGGGCTGGGTGGGAGCTGCTCCTCTCGAGTGGCCTCAGCTTGGACAGCTTGTGTCTGCTGTGCATCGTCTCTCGTTCTCCAGCAGGCTAGCCCAGGTTCCTTCACGTGGGCAGGTAGGCAAGCTTCCAAGGGAACAAATGGAAACACGCAAGCCTTCCAGTGCCTCGGCTCAAATCTGGCACGCTGTTAACTTCCTCTGCATTCTGTCAACCGAAGCAAGTCCCAGGGCCCGGCCCAGATTCAAGGAGAGGGAAAAGGGTCACCGCCTCTTGATGGGAAGTCACATTACATAGGTGTGGTTACAGGGAGGGGTGAAGACCTGTGGCCATTCTGGTGATGCGCTTCACCTAGTAAGAAGGCATGGCATGCACAAAGGCCTGAAGATAATTGAGAGAGGAAATGGGGTTTGCGAAACTCCAAGCTGTGTGGTATGACAGGAGCAGAGAAGGCAAAGGGGTTACAAGGGAAAGCGTGGTAAGTATGGTCAGGACGTCACACAAGGTCAGTCTGGAACAGCAATCAGGAAACGTGGGCAGCAATAAAAACAATATTGAAAACAGTTCTGGGAGATTCTCTGAGGTCCTTGGGCATCTCATTTCTTGGCAGAGACCCAGTACAAGCTCCTGCTACCCTCCTGAGCAGACATGAAAATTTTTCACGGTCACAGGTGCCATTATCTGTGCTGCCCTCTTGCAGCTTCCTGGCTGCCATAATCTGGTGATGGCTAACCCCCAACCACTTCCTTCTCTTCATGTGTCTCACTGTGGCTGCAGCTGTTCTCCATAAGGTGTGAGAAGAAGCCTCCCTGAATCACAGATACAACTGTTATTGGACCCCACCTTCCTGGAGAAATTTGGGACAAATTCCCTCCTCTTGAATGGGGAAAACAGCTGAGGAGCACAACTTAGAGTCAAAACCAAAAGCGTCCCTTGCTGCAGGGAGCTGGGGTGTCAGAGTTTCCTTTTTTTCTAGAATGATCCCCTGACGCTCAAATCCAGTGATGTGGGGTGATCCCTGTTTTGGGGTCTTGATCCTGGGCATAGAGAACCAGCCATTGCAAAGCTTCTGTTACCATTTCTTTTCAAGGGTATCCATTCCTGCCTGATGCCACCAAAATTCCCGGTGCCTGCCGCGAGGGATGGCCAGGTTAGCGTGGCTCCTTTCCTCCCTCTGCATGATGCATATGCACTGGGGATCTGATGTGTCCTCCGCTTTTCTTGCTTATGATTGACTTGACCTCACCTCTTTGCAGAGAAGCAGGCACTTTTCTTTCTCCGAGGAGGAGATGCAGAGACCCACAAAGTGTCACTGCAGAGAGAGGCTTTGAAAAGGTGCCAATTGGAAAGCTCTTTCAGAGCCAGCTCCTGGTTTTAACCAAATGAGGCAAGGTTTCCAGGCCTCATTCCACCTCACTGCCCTTTTCCTTTGTCAATAGTAATGGGGGTGATTTCCCTCATCCTCCTACCAAGAGTCCACTTCAGAGTTGTGGAGCCAGCACGGACAGGACGTGTGTGATAGTGCTGTGTCAACAGCGGAGTGTTCCAAAGATGTCATTTATTAGAATGGTGATCTCCCAGAGTCAATTTCTTAATCCATTGCTTCCTCCTTAAACTTTATACACCCTCCTAATGTGATACTTAGTATTTGATGGCTGTTTCTCCATTAAACGATTTGGCGTTAAGAGTCCCTTCCTGTTCCTGTCTGCCCCCAGCACCAACTCAGAGCTTAGCAAACAGGATCCCAATTCTACAAATGAAGCTACTGAGGTTCCGGAAAGTTCAACGAGATAACAAGTTGTAGATACAGGATTTGAATTCACATCTTTTGAGTCCAGCAGCAGCAATCACGCCACCCTGACACATGATAGGTGCTCAAAAAATGCCTGATGAATACATTACTGAATAAACCCTCCTGTTCTTGAACCCTTACCTTATAGGAAAATTGCCCGTTTTATCTTCACATTACTAGGCAACTACTAAACACATCAAAATAATCACCTCGCTGGTTCACACAAAGTGCTATGGAGACTGATGAAGGGCAATGCAGGACCCTAGAGTTGTGGGGGGAAGAGAAAGGATGCAGGAGGCACAAGACCAAGAGTAGACCGAGGGCAGAGGCTCTTACTATCAGAAAAGGTTCATCTCACCTTAAGGATACTACACATCAGTGACCTTTACGAAACGCCTTAAAAGAATTTTTTATTTCATCTACTCCTTTGCATATTTTTTAAGGTGACAACGAAAACTTTTATACGCCTAAATAGGTAGTTGCAAAAATTATGCTAACCAATTTTCTGTATTGTACACATATTTTAAATATATTTTGGCCGAAACCTTGAACAGCAGACTCAATCAATGAAACATACAGGAAATATCCATCCCCAACCCTAATTAGCCGAACCAACTTCATCATCAAATCAGGCAGCCAGATCAAAATTGCCGTTAAAAATCATCTGACTTCATCTTTTATTTTCAATAAATGCATTCATACACATATTCTATGCCCACGATAACCTTCTCTCTCCCTACCTGCAATTCTGAGACAGTCAGAGAGCCCAGAAACAGAGCCTTTGGCATGAGACCCGGACAGAATGAGATGTGGATGTGGTCTGCTTCTGTTTGCTTTGCTCTCACTGGGCTGTCTCTCTGCAGCAATGTAAACAGCAGTCAGCCCTTTGTGTGATGCCAGATTTCTCTACACCTTGGGACAATGCCCCATGGTGAGATTCCAAATGCATGAGAAGTTTGCCTTTATGTTCTGAAGCAGGAGCACTCAAATGAGTTTGTCAGGGGGAAATGTTTGGAAAAGAGTTCAAATGGAAGCTGAGAATCTGGACATTGATTCCCTCGGATGCTAACTGGGCCCAGGCACCCCTGGAAGTCTTCAGCTGCCTTCACCTCTATCTACCACCATGCACCACGCTTTCCAGATCCATGCCCTTTGCCCTCTTCCCAGGACTCAGTATTCCTGAACTGGCCACTGCTGAGGCAGCTGGTTTCTTTCACCTGTCAGCGTCCAGCCTGCAGAGCCCAGGCTCCCAATTCCTTGTTCTCATCACCTTTTCCTCACTTTGGCGAACCTCCATGACCTCAGGGAGAGTGATTTTAAAGAGGCATTAAACTGATTTATATGATAGCACCAATGACTAGTAGCTTGTCCAGGTTTTGAGGTACTGTTTACATTTTCCTAAAGAAGCTTATTTACCAAAGAAGTCTCCCACTGGTTGGAAATTCAAGCTAATATAAGAGAAGCTCTGAGCACTGAGGAGGAAATATTCTAGATGATTTCAAGACAGTTTAAGACCAGTTTTGATCACTGTACTGGAAAGCAGTGATTTGTTAAGCAGGATCCAAGCCTGACAAGCAACATCACATATTTTAAATCTGCATTGGGTGCTAACTGGGAAAAAGTCACCAATGTCCCGTAGTCAGTTGGTGGCTGATTCTGCAGTGATGGAATGGAGATAGAATGAGATCCAGACAAACTTCACTTAAGTCCTTATATATATCCCTGGAAATTCTATCACATTGAAGTCTTTGGGGGTAGTTCTAGTCTACTCTGAGTCTCAGATATTTTTAATTGATAGAACAGAGAAAGACACCCAAAGTGTCGGGAAGGTGCAGGTGATGTAATCCAAGAGAGTCATTTAAAAGAACAGAGATTCTGAAGGTTATTTCTGGTCACACTGCATACACTGGAGACTGAAGTTGTCAGGTTGTAAGAAAGAAAAAGGCCATATCCAAGATGATGCTTCTCTTACTCAGGCATATGGTAAATTTGGAGAAGTTTACTAAGTCTAAGGATTTGAATCTTGCCTTCCAAAATGTGGTAGGAAGATGGATCTATGCCACTTGGCTTCAGAAATTCAGCAAATAACTCTTCAAACCAAATCCATGTCTCTGAAGGTAAATACGAAGATTCACAGAAAGAACAGCAAAAAGATCATCTTTTGAATTCAACTGTGACCATGACATTCAAATGACCTGACTACACAGCACTGGAATTCAGATAGAATTAAAGAAAATCTGCCGTTGAAATCAGAAACATAAATGAGTATGAAGAATCTGCTCCCCCAGTCCCTGCACCCCTGTTACTTATTTTCATGATAAACAGCAGGCTAATAAGCATCTGTTCCTTCTCAATGTCCAAGGGATGTTGTTTGCAAACATGTACAACCATTGCTTTGTTCTCTCGGGAGAAAACAAAACACTATCAATCAAAGCAAAGCTACATACCCAGACCTGCTGCGGCAGCTGCTTGTTCAAAACCGCATGTCATTCCCCTGCAAGCCAGAGTGCCGGGACGCTTTGATATCCTCTGCCCCTGCTCCTCTGAGCACTGCTGCAGGTTAACTCTTGGAGGCTGGATGCTCTACCCAGGGAAGCCAAGGCTCACCAGCCAACTTAACCACTTGCGTGCTGACTCATGCACTGGGCAGGACGCAACCCTGGCGAGCCTGCTGATGGACAGATTCCTGCACCATCCTTGGAAGGTCACACCTAAAGCTCGTCCTTTGGCACCCTGCACAAACCCAGCTTGGAAAACAGTCATTGATTTTCTCAGACAGACCTGCTGATCCTATTTGATTTGGAAAATACTCAATTCATTCCCTACCCTATCAGTTACACACCACTGAGAGGAGACTTCACAGGACAAATCAGCACAGAGATGTAAGTTAAGACCATTTTGGATGAAAGAGTTAAACTCTGGGAGAGGAGTGCCCCCACTTTTCTGGAGAGATTGCAACTAGATACAGGAAGTTGATTGCACACAGTCACCTTGGTAGTTTGGGGAAGCAAATAAGACTGTGTTTACATTTTTCTTGGTGTGTTTTCCAGGCAAGACCAAAAATCAATTTCTGGCAGAATGGCCCCTGTTTGAATCCACATAGAAGTTACTAGGGTCCCTAGGGGAAAAGTTTGTTATTCTAACCCCTTTGGGGCTCAGATTAGCAGGTATCATAGGCAGGAGGAAAAAAGCAAAGAATTTTAATGTCTGAACAGGTGTCTGAAGTCCACCTCATTCCACCCATGCCAGCATGCAAGAGGCTCAGAAACCTAGAATTCCTACAGACAAAAAAAAAAAAAAAATGGTGCTGCTTCCTCAATTGTTGGTACATCACTTAGAATAACAGCTATAGGGACAAAATCTTGCCTCCCAGCCTAAGGGCCAGTCTCTAGTTTTCTTCAGGCCATAACAGGGTCACTGTGGGTCTTGCATGGAAGGAGAAGTTGGGTGTGAGGCAGACAGCAGAGGTACCTGTGCTTGGTAAACAACGAATTGTTGAAGGTAGGCATGAATTGGACATGCAGCCCCGTGGGAATTGGGGTTAGGGAGTTACTGCACAGTTTCCGTCTTCTTCCCACTGACTGGCGCTGCAGGGCTGCCTGCTGAGGTTTATTAGCTACTAATTGGGCTCCAAGGCTCTGGGGCCTCCTTTGCCTAAAATGTACCTACCTTGGGGGCCTAAAAGCTCCAGAAAAGGGAGTGCAAATTCATCTTTGCATAGAACACAGCTTGTAGACGGAATGTGTAATAATAATAATACCAGTGATAACCATAGCAGCAGCTGCTATGTTGAATGCTTACTGTATCCCAACAAATGGGGTGATTGCTTTACTTGCCTTACTTATGTTCTATAGCAAGAACTGCCAGCTCTTCATCAAGAGCTGTGTTTCCTTCTCCTTCCTGGCCTTCCCTGAAGTCAGGGTAGCTACGTAAGGAAGATCTGGACAATGGAAAGTAAGCAAAAATGATATGCACTAATTCCACTCTTGGCCTATAAAATCTTCCCCATATATGATCCTCCCTGCCCCTGGGACAGACTTGGAGCGAGAGATCTACCATGATCTTGCAGGGTATGGGAGGAAGAAAGTGAAAAGCCTCCATCAAAATGAATGATCACATGGAAGAAGGCTGCTGACTTTTGCAATTACTTTTAAATTATGGAGGGGAAACATTGGATGCCAACGTAAAAATGTGTTTTTCAAAATTCTTCTAGGGATATGAAGCAAAACGGTTTGAAGACCGCTGTCTACAGAATACAGACTAGCCTCCATAACCAGATATTCACACTCACCCCAGCCCAAGCAAGCCTTTGGCTTTCTATGTGACTCTGATCTCTCTCCTGGTCGTTCTCTCATTCCAGGCATTCAGGTCTCTTTACCATTCTTGAAAGTATCTGTTCTTTCCTGCCTCTGCTCAAACTCTTACCCTCCTCCAAAACACTATCCCAACTACTCCCCTCTTAACTGAATCTTATCTCGCTGCTGAGACAGTTTGAAGACACAGCCGCAAAGTCTCTGATACTTCATCCATCCATCAAGTGGTGGGGATCTGACCTATGTCCTCTCTCTTGAGTCTGTGTAGGTTGTGACTGCTTGCGACTGTCAGGAGAGAATGTGGAAGCGATGCCATGTGACTCTCGAGGCTGGGTCACAGAAGGCCCTGCAGCTACCGCCATGCTTCCTGGAGAATTCAGTTGTAAAACTGTGAGTCACCATGTGAGAAATCTGGAAATCCTGACACTGTCATGCTGGAGAAACCACATATATGTGCTTTGGTCACTGTCCCACTTGTACTCCTCCTTCCAGCCACCCCGACTAAGGTACCAGACGTGTGAACGAAGAAGTAGTCTTAGACCTTCCGAACCAGTCCGTCCACCAGCTGAATATCCTGGAGTGAACTCTGTCAATGCCACATAGAACAAAAGTGTCACCCAGCCAAGCTCTGCTTAAATTCCTGACTCACAAAGTCATGCGCCATAATAAAACGGGGGCTGTTTAAAGTCACTGTGTTTGGGGCAGTTGATTATGTAGCAAGAGATAACTGGAACACCCTCCTTCAGGACCCAAGACAGGGGCCATGTATTTTAAGAAGCATTTTCTGACCATTTTATCCACCTACATTACTGAGTTGTCCAGTCCTTTTTAATTCTGGTCTTGAGTAATTTTTTTCAAAAAATAAGGAGTTGTCCTATTCCACCTGGAGTCCAAGTTGCTTTTATTTCACTATATCTCTTTACAACACCTTATATAATAGGCCTTTGGTGAATGTTCATTGATTGCTAAGAACACTACTCATGTGACATGGGGCATATCTGTAACTGCAAGGTAGATGGGCGGGTCTGGGGGGACAGTCATGCTCCCTAACTGCTTTTGCTTTCTGGGCGCTGGAATCTTGACTGTAATTGTCAGGTAGTATTTGTCCAATCTGGTATTTATTCATGTGTGTACTAAGTGCCTACTGTTTGCCTGGCACTTTTTTAAGCCCCTGTGACAGAGTCATAAACAAGACAAAGTCCTTCTTTTCATCGTGCTTCTATTGTAAATGGAGAAACACAAACAAAAAATAAAATTATGTATAATTTGTTAGGTTATAAGTGCTAAGAAGACTAATGCAAGATGAGAGGTAGGGAAGTTGGTTTGTATAGCATAATATTTTATATAGCATCATCAGTCCTCTCTGATAAGGTAGTATTTCCATAGACAACTGAAGGAAGGGGGAAGAAAGCTGTGAGAGAACAAAACTCATGCTTAGGCCTGGGGGAAAAAACATTATGTAATAGGAAAAAGGAATGACAGCACACAAGTCCCCGACAAGACTGTGCTTGCTAGGTTGCAAGAAGAGGAGATGGCCAGGGTGGCCTAAGCAGACAGAGCAAAAGAAGGAGCAAATCATATGTGGCCAAAATGTACAAGGTGACATTCAGGGGACAGAGGCCAGGAAGGGCCTGGGGAGCAAGGTAAGGACTTTAGTCCTCCCAATGTAAGTCATTAACAATTTTTGAGGAGAACAGTGGGACAATCTGGCTTTTAGAAAACTTATTCTATTATCTACCATCTCTGCAGTACACACTGCAGAGAGCCAAAGTTAGAAGCAGTGAGAATACTTTGGGGCATTTGCAATATCTAAGCAAGAGACTTAGACTAAAAAGCTATAGGTGGAGATGGCGTGAAGTGGTCACAATATCGACATGTTTTGAAGGATTTCCCATGGGGTTTAGGATGTGAGAGAGAAATAGTAGTCAAGAATGATTCCAGGCCTGGTCCGGTGGCTCATGCCTGTAATCCTAGCACTCTGGGAGGCTGAGGCGGGCGGATTACTCAAGGTCAGGAGTTCAAAACCAGCCTGATCAAGAGCGAGACCCCGTCTCTACTAAAAATAGAAATAAATTAATTGGCCAACTAAAAAATATATACAAAAAATAAGCCAGGCATGGTGGCACATGCCTGTAGTCCCAGCTACTTGGGAGGCTGAGGCAGAAGGATTGCTTGAGCCCAGGAGTTTGAGGTTGCTGTGAGCTAGGCTGATGCCACGGCACTCTAGCCAGGGCAACAAAGTGAGCATCTGTCTCAAAACAAAACAAAACAAAAAAGAATGATTCCAAGGCTCTGGACTCAAGAACTGGGGGAAGAGTGTGAACAAAGTAAGTTTGGATTAAGAGAATCAACCCTTGGCTATCTCTGCAAAACAATTCAGGAGGGATTCTTTAACTCAAGACCTTATGAAGATGACTTACTGACATTGGTTGAGAATGATCTAATATCTGTAAAGATGATAATAGACAAAGGTATTTCCCAAAAGGAGACAGGTTTTTAGGTGGTACAGAGTAGACACTTATTTTAATTGTTATGTATTGATTTTGATGTGAATTAGAAATATAAAATATATAGAGTTAGGCTAAAGCAACGTTTTAATGACATCATTTATCATTTAACATGCCAAAACATTAAGTAATAGTACAAATTATAAATGTCATGGGAAAAAAAATCACATCACCTGTATGCTTTGAACTTTGGGAAATATTGATGCTCGAGTTAATACCCAATTAAATTAAGTATCTTTAAGGTCAGTCTCTGCCACCAAGTTTCTTCAGATCCACTCCAAATTCTCATTCTTCTCCAGTTGGCTGATTGCATCTATGATCCCCCCCACCACATTTTTTTCCCCACATGAGGTCTGCTCAGGAGTAGTGTGTCCTATACCAAAAGCCAAAAATAGCCTTTGTAGATTATTCTCACTCCCCGTTTATTTGTAATTGCTCAAAGTTTACTCTTATTGGAGTCCTTATGATTTGATCGATTTCTCGAAAAGAGTTTGCTTTTCTCCAGTGAACTCTGTACAGGGCCAGTTGCTCTCTTAACCCCTCTCCCCAGACAGCTATAAGCTGCAGGCGGCTCTGCCTTCAAACCCCAGCAAGTGGCTCCGTCTGGGTCTGCATGTGGCTCCTGAGCTACCCGTGATTTTCAGTCTTTCAGCTGATGGTGTTCGGTGGGAAGAATCCCATCCTGCTTAGGGTGGAAACTGGAAGGAAGTTATCCCATGAACCGGGACATGGCCCTTGCTACCTACTGCCCCCTTAATTATGTAAGCCTTTCACACTCAATCCCCAAAATGACCCTGTGAAGTAGGTACTATTATTCTACTCATTTTACAAATAAAATAACAACCAAGATTCAAATAGCTGAGTATTCAAAGCCATCTGACCAGTAAGTGACTCA